AGCCGCAGCTGCCAGAAAGCACGCTCCCAGCTGGAAGCCCAACTGGGGTCGCGGGTGCTGCTCACCTCGTCCACGACCTCGTCGTCTTCATCCTCTTCCTCGTCGCTGTCTTCGTCGTCGTCGTCCTGGTCCTCCACTTCCTCGTCCTCTTCTTCCTCGTGGCACGGGACCGGGTCGCAAATCTTTACCAAAAAAGGGAGGGAGCGTGAAAGGGTGAGAGGCTATATTTAATTACTAGACGGTAGTCACAAATGCGCAACCGCCGCCCTGACGTGCTGACGCCCTTCCGGACCCACCCACCCCTCCAGGCCGAGGGGGTAAGAAACCATGTAGAACCTCGGCGCTGAGTCCGCGACAACCCCAGCGACCCTGCGGGATTCTACAGCCATGATACCTTTGGGTCAGGTCCGGTTCTGGGTCCTATATTGCCCTTTCCATCCTCCCTCCACGTTTCTTACTCGCTCCCCATGGCTCGCCCCCCCCTTGGCTCAATGGTTCGGCTCATCTCTGCGGCTGCGCCCCAGCGGTCTGAGTGTCGGTGCGCATGCGCGAGCTCCAGCTGTGAGCGCCGCGGGGCAGCAGGTGGTGGTACCCGGGCCTGGCGCGGGCCGTCGCCATGGCAGCGCAGGCCACGTGGTGAGGGGTCCGCCCACCACTGGCCGCTCCGGTATCTCACAGCCTCAGGTTGGGATCGCGAGACCCCGCCCGCCTGGGCGACTTCCTAGGGCCGGCGCTGGGCTGGGCAGGGCCCCAGCTCCTAGACCTTTCGGGCCTCACCAGCCCGGCGAGGTAGGTGTCGCCGCACACCGTACGGACAAGGACACAGGCCTCCGCCCACCCACCGGGCGCTAGCGAGTGCAGGACTAGTCGGGAGCGGAACCGAGGCCGCCGCAGGCCTGAGTGTGGGCCGTGGCCTGGGGTAGTGATGGACTCCAATGGAAGGGCCCCGGGTCGTGCAGGTCCCCACGCCAGGCCCAGCCCGACCGCGCGGGCGTCCCGCAGCCCAGGGGTGGCTCGGCCTCGTCAGGCACCGAATGCCTGCCCCTAGCGGACCCTCCTTAAGCCCATTTCCTGACCTGAAAGTTTGCTGAAAAGCAGGGGTGGGCTGGCAACGCTTCAGGGCCAGTAGGGAAATCCGACTTGCAGACCAGAGCCTGTTTGGGGAGGACAGAGTGGCGGGCACTGGGGCCAGCTCGGCGTACCTGAGGCTGCAGCCACGTGGCAAGGGCCCGGTGTGGTCAGATTTTTACATTTCCAGAGAACCTGGAATTCTGGATATTTCTCTTTATGATGGGGTCGCCTGATTGCAGAGCCTGTGCCTTTATGGGGTGTGTGTGTGTGTGTGTGTGTGTGTGTGTTTTAATTGATCTCAGAGAGGAAGGGAGAGGGAGAGGAATAGAAATACCAATGATGAGAGAATCATTGATCGGTGTCTCCTGCACGCCCCCTACTGGAGATCGAGCCCGCAACCTGAGCATGTGCCCTGACCAGGAATTGAACTGTGACCTTGACTCTCAACCACTGAGCCAAACCTGCCTGGTGGGTGAATTCTGTATTTTTACAAGAAATACCTTGAGTTTTACAACCTTAAAATATTCAAATAAAATTCATTGACCAGCTAGGCTAGCAGTTCGCAGCCCATTGTAAAGACTATTAGAAAGGACGTCATTCATTAGAGATGACATCCGTTTCTTTTTTTTTCTTTGTAAAATGAGGAGATTGGGCTGGGTGCATGTGATTCTAAATATGTACTCTGCTGCCCTAGCAGTGAGGCGGCTGCTGCTGGGGAGGTTTAAGCAGAGCAGTGATGATAACCTCTGCTCGGTAATTCCACCCTGGAGAGGTAACCAGCTGGCAGCATCCCAGGCCCCTCTCCCACTGCACCTCCTAGCACTTAATGGTGCTGCCACCCCCAAAATATCATGCACACCTCCCTGATGGGCTACCGTTATCACCGTTACAGAAAGCCTGTGTGAGCGACTGGCTCCTGGTATTTGAGCTTCTCCAATGGGGACATGGTAGGGCTGAGTAGCGATCTGTGGCCACACGAATGCCTGCTTCCCACAGCAGTAAGCTTCTACTTTTGAATCCTGCAGTAGGTGCCCTGGAAAGATGTGTGCTTTAGCAGAGAATGCCACATTGTACCTGCCACTCAGTGACACACCAGATTCCAGGGACCCCAAATTGGAAGGCTCATCAGTTGGGGTTCAACCAGAGAAACGGGACCCGCAGGGGATCTGTATTAGGAGACTGAGTGCAACTCTGGGGCCAGTCATATCCGTAGTGGAGGGCACGGCAGAAGCAGTGCACAGGAGGCATTTCCGCTGGGAGCCTCCGTCTGCTCCAAGGTCCTTTCCACCGCCCCAGGCAGCCCCCCCCGGATTGTGTAGGATGACCTGTCTTACTAAAGGTCAGCTGACGGTGGGCCTCATCATATCTCCAAAACCTTCCCGGCAGCACTTGGGTTCGCATAGGGGGATGCCGGGGACTGGCCCAGCCAGGCTGACACCAGTGACCAGCGCAGAAAGGTCGACTGCTCATTCCTGTGGAGACTCGCTTTGAGTCACTCCAGGCAGTGACAGAAGCCATCCTGCCCACTTTCCCAAAGCCCCACTGTAGCCAAGGTCCCGACAGCAGCATTAATGAGAACGTAATTTCATGCTCATTTGCTCACTCAGTTGCTTAGATACAAAGCAGTTCATTTTGAGCTGTGTGCCATGTATATCTCAATAATGAAGGGCCCGGCCGTGTGGCTAAATGGTTAAGCATTGACCTATGAACCAGGAGGTCACAGTCTGATTCCGGTCAGGGCCCATGCCCGGTTGTGGGCTTGATTCCCAGTGTGGGGTGTGCAGGAGGCAGCCAGTCAATGATTCTCATCATAGAGGTTTCTATCTCTCCCTCCCTCTCTGAAATCAATGCAAGCATATCTAAATATATAAAAGCCTAATATTCAAAGTGTCCCCTTGGGAATTCGACTGGGAGGCCAGGAGTTCGATGGCTCGCTATGACATGCACTGACCACCAGGGGGCATTGCCTAACGAAGGAAGGCCAGGCCAGCAGCCAGAAGTCCCTGATCGAGGGACAGGTCTAGGGACCCTACCCGTGCATGAATTTCATGCCAGGGGCCTCTAGTGTTAAATAATAAAGGAATACCAGATGAGCATCGTTATGTAATCTTGGCACACGTTTGTGAGTACTGCCTTAGTGCTCATTCTTAGATGTGAAATTATAGAAAGGACAGGAAGTGCATAAGGCTTTAAATATGTATCGACAAATTGTGTTCTAGGTTGTTAGAAAACTTTTGAAAGATTACTTCAGGATACTGACAACACTTATAAAACATCATTTAAGAAGTAGAAAAGTCGCCCGGTCGGTGTGGCTCAGTGAGTGAGCATTAACCTATGAACCAGGAAGTCATGGTTCGATTCCCGGTCAGGGCACATGCATGCCCAGGTTGCAGGCTCCATCCCCAATAGGGGGCATGTAGGAGGAAGCCAATCAATGATTCTCTCTTATTGATGTTTCTCTCTCTCTTCCTCTCTGAAATCAATAAAAATATGTTAAAAATGTAGAAAAGTCAAAATTATTTCCTAAGGAGCTTACAAGCAAACAACTTACTATATTTTGAAATGGAAGTAAGTACTCATGTCCTTCCAATATGAGACGCCCATTTCTCTACCTATTGATACAACTCAGAACCTGCCCTTCTCCTCCCTGAGCCTTACATGTGGCTGGGACACTGGCCCTCCCCCGGGCTGTCATCTGCCTTCCAAGCGCTATCAAGTGCCAGCAGCTGTCCCTCGGCCTTATCAGTGACAGGGTCTCCGCAGGAACCAGCCCGTTCACGCTGAGTCAGTGCGCAGGGGCCACCTTCCCCCACTGCCCCATCCAGCCACGTGGCCCAGGAGGAGTCTGAGGTCTGATTAAGGCCCGTGTCCCTGCTCTGTCACAGCGCCCTGTACGGCCCGCCAGGCAGTGATGAAGGTTCTTTTGCTGAAGGACACGAAGGAGGAGGGTGGCCAGGACCCCTATGTCAGGGTAAGTGCCCGCGGCGCCAGGCCCAGAGACA